CCCCAAAACCCCAAAACCCCAAAACCCCTTTAAATTAAAATTATTGAAATAAGTAGATATTTATTTTTATTAAGGATAGTCATGACTCATTAATAGCTTATATATTTATATTAAATCTCTATACTATCACAGAGATGATAGTCTTTTACTGAACATCTTCTTCCTTACTGTTTGAGCATACTTAGTGGTGTCTTTAAGCGATTGCATGGATTAGTCATAAAGACTTTTGGTTTTAGAGTAATCAAATTACACTTTTATGGGGATGCAGACACCCCTCTCTGTCTTTATCATCCTTTTTTCTTCCAGCTCCTAAATCTCTTTAGCTTCTCTTAGTTTTTCTATAAACTTTCTTCTGTCTTCTCTTTATTCTTTAATCTTCTTGTAAAGTTCCGAATCTTGATAGCTAGAAATGTAATTTGAAATCTTAGATTAAACTTTGTCGTACTGTGGATTTACATACCTTCTCATTGAAAAGTCATCATATGTTTGATTATAGCTCATTCTCTGAAGATCGAGACTTGGCATTGATAGCTTTTTGCCAATTTACTTTTACTTTTCGTTACTTAATGTATTAATATCAGTAACTAATTGAACTATCATGTTTTCATCCTTGCTCTGGATCTTTTCCATTTTACCCTTCTAACCTCTGCTATTCTAAGGATTTGAATCATTGTCAAATGGTATTGCAGACCCTGGTGAATTCAAGTCTTGAACTTCAGTATAGAACACTTAGCTATTATAGTTTGCTCGCTATTTTAGATTTGTTAGCAAACTAGAAGTTGATCTCACTTTGTTTACTTTGGCTTCATGCTTTGGGTATTGTAAGTTGAGGTTTTAAATGTCATTTTAGTTTACATGAGCTCTAGTCAGTCTTCTTCCAGCCATTGAAGATCCTGTGCTTATCATTGAATTAGGATCTTAAGTCAGTTTTAAAGGTATCTTCAATCCTGAAGCAGCATTAGTAGAACTGTTTTAAGTAAAATTAAGATTATGGTAGTTATGATTGCTTTGACCGTTCATCGGTTTGATTATTTTATTCATGTCCAGTTGCTGATCAGTAGTCTTTAACTCCTTTGATAACCATCTCATGGACTGCCTTCTTCTAGAGTTTCTCCTAACTTATGGCTTTAATTCTTCTTGAATTTTTTCTTCTTATTGAACCTACTTCTTCTATAAATATTTAGGCGTCCTATCAAGGAATAGATACTTATAAACCTATATTCTTTCTTGCAAAATGTTTAATTTGATATAGAAATCTGAGTGCTTGCTCTTAGCCAATCTATATTATATTGCATGAAGAGTGTCTTCACTATACTGCTAGGTTAAATTGCTTTAATCTTAGTCGTCTAAATTTAACTCGTTCTTAATTTGTTGCTAGCTTCTTGAACTATTCAGACTCATCCTTGATGACCTGGGTGGTCCATTTATTGAATTTTTCCTTGGCTGTGCCCTGCTCTGCTGATTAGATCACTGTCCTGCTTTTTTTGGTGGTTAATCCTAAAAATGGACTGTAGGTGACTGCCTCCTCATATTTTAAACATTAAGTAAGTTCTTATTGAGTTGCTCACTATCAACCACATTAGAAAATGAAGCATTCTAGTCATATCCTCCCTAATTTATAGTACTAGCTCCAGCAGCTTAGCATCCATTGTTGATATTGATTTTTATTTAGTTATGCATCGACTTCTACTAAAGAGAGGTCCTTATCTACTAGTTCATTTTGAAAAAATCTATTGCATTATTTCCTGGTATAGGCTTAAGTTTAACTGAAGAGTTTAGGTGTCTTCTATCTGTGAGAGGAAGAGGTTTTACCTTTGATGGGCTGTCTATCATTATTATTCTAAAATGTTTGTTATTTTTTTAATTTATAAAAAAACTATCTTTAATTATTTTAGAATCGTTATTAAATTAAAATAATTTCAAAAATATGAAAACTACAAACAAATAAAATAGCGCTTTCTAAAATAAGACTATTTCATCTAGCACAAAAGGAGGAGTGACTGAAAAATAGCGAGCATTGAAATATAAAAAATAAACAACAATCAAAGAGGAACCTACTCACATCTAAACGAAGGAAAGCGATGCAGGCATTCATTTAACACAAATTTTGAACTACTATCGAGAGAGAGTGGAAGCCTTTGAAAAGGATAGAATTCAATGGTATCAAAAGCTAGAGAATATCAGAATAAAGCAGGAATTCGTTCACAAAGTTGAATGGGAACTCAAAAAGAGGCAAGATGAAAAGGCAGAGCTTGAACGAGCACTCTAATAGTGCTAGTCTGCTTTGTTTACTGAGAGGGAAAGAATTGTCAAGATGAAGCAAGCTGCTGACTAATTAAGGATAAAAGGCAAGGAAAACAGGCAATTGATAATGGAACTCCTTGACTCAAACAACTCAGTCGAGCAACATATTTACTATCAAAACAATGGTGCTCCTGAAAAGATACAATCTTACTCCAAAAAGTTACTGTCAACAAAGGGAGGTGCCCCTATGCAAACAATGACTGCCTCCTAGATGAATTAAAATTTAAGGCAGACTATTGAGGAACATAAAAAGAATCCAACTATAAGTTATGACTATAAGTCCCCAAATATTCTCAGGACTATTTACTTACCAAATGACTAAGCAATTTAAATTAGAAATGAAGTTGAAGTTTTGCATCAATAAATATAAGAGTAAAGAGTTCATTATGAGAAGGTCTTGCAGACTTTGAGAGATGAAAAGTCAAAGTATGAAGAAGATCAAAGAATGAAATACATTGACTATGTCGAAGAGGTTGAAAAGCTAATGTCCAAGCTTCAAGACTAGGAGATTTTTAACTACTAGGTGATAAGAGATCATGTTGATGTGATGTCTCAATACGAAGTGGAGGAGAGAAAAATACAGGAAGAGATTGAAGCCATGAGAATTGAAAATACTCAAATAAAAGATTAAATTAGAGAGATACATAAGTCATCAGAGCAAAAGAAGAAAGATGCCAAAGATGAATATGAAAAGAATGCACTAGAGTACTAGGAGGTATTCAGAGACTAGCAGAAGGCTTAGAAAGAAAACATCGCTGTTATCAAGGATCAGTATAAGAAGGTGCAGGAGATTTACAAGAGAAAGATGGCTGATATGCAGGAGAGACTTGAAAAGGAAACCAAGAAGATGGAGGTCAATGAGAGAAGAAGGAAGCACGAATTAGAAGGTTATGGATCAGACCTTCAGAATATGAAAAAGAAAATCGCATTCTATCAGAAATATATCAATAAACTCAGGAAGCTGGTTGAAGAAGACTAAGAAGCTGAAGATATTCAGTTTTCAGATGAGGAACAAGAAGATGCTGAAGATCAACGAGAAATGGCAGAGGAAACTAAAGATTAGATTTATTGAAAGATAAAATATAGATTTAAGATAATTATAGTATAACTTCTCAGAATAAATCTGAAATAAGAATTTTGGGGTTTTGGGGTTTTGGGGTTTTGGGG